CTACTCATTTTGATCTTATCAGCATTGCCTATGCTCATAAATTATGTTTTATGTATGTCCAAGGAAGTAAGACATGTTTCAGTTTAACAATAAATGTATACTAGAAGGTGTTCAGCAGTGATTTAAACTTTTCCAAGTATGCTTGACACTCCAAAAAATTTTTACATTAATGTAGTGTTACACTGAATGGATCAGCAGCAAAAAAATTACCTACTTGTTAAGGCATCATGGTCGATCCCAAATTTGATCTGAAGTGCCATTTATAAAGTACACTACCTTCAGAATACTGCAGCTTCCTTCAAAATCTTTCAGTTGTTGTAGCAGTAAGTACATATTTTTATCTGAGTTTAGGTTTAGAAATGTAACTTGCCTGAAATATATTCAAATTTAATATAGATTCATGGAGATGTACAGCACGGAAACAGACGCTTAGGTCCAACTCGTCCATGCCTACCAGATAACCTAAATTAATCTAGTCCCATTTGCCAATTTCTCCCATATCCCTCTAAACCCATTCTATTCATGTACCCAGCCAGATGCCTTTCAAATGTTGTAATTGTATCAGTCTGCACTACTTCCTCTGGCAGCTCATTCCATCCTCCACACGCACCATCCTCTGTGTGAAAATGTTGCCCCTTAGATCCCTTTTAAATACTTCTCACCTTAAACCAATGCCCTCTAGTTTTGGACTCCCCTGTCCTTGCCTCTTCACTGTATCCATGCACCTCAAGAACGTGTAAACCTCTATAAGGTCACTCCTTAGGCTCTGACATTCCAGGGAAAATAGCCCAGCCTATTTAGCCTCTTCCTATACCTCAAACCCTCTAACCCTGGCAAAATCCTTGTAAATCTTTTCTGAACCCTTTCAAGTTTCCTATAGCCAGAAGTGAACACTGTATTCTAAAACTGGCCTAACCAATGTCCCGTACTACCACAATATGACCTCTTAACTCCTATACACAATGCACTGACCAATAAAAGCAAGCATGCCAAATGCCTTCTGTCTGCCTATGACTCCACTTTAAATGAACTATGAACCTGCACCCCAAGGTCTCTTGTTCGGCAACACTTCCTTTACCATTAAGTGTCCTGCCCTGATTTGGCTTACCAAAATGCAGCACCTCACATTTGTCTAAATTAAACTCCATCTGCCACTCCTTGGCCCATTTGCCCTTCTGTTCAAGGTCCTGTTGTACCCTGAAGTAACCTTCTTTGCTGACCACTACACCACCAATGTTGGTGTCATCTGCAGACTTACTAACCATACCTCCTATATTCACATCCAAATCATTTATATAACTGACAAAAAGCAGTGGACCCAGAATCGATCCGTATGACACACCGCTGGTCACAGGCCTCCAGTCCAAAAAGCAACTCTCCAACACCACCCTTTGCCTCCTACCTTCAAGCCAGTTTTGTATCCAAATGGCTTGCTGTCCTGTATTTCATGTAATGTAACCTTGCTAACCAGTCTACCATGCAGAATCTTTTTGAATGCTTTGCTGAAGTCCATATAGGCAATGTCCACCACTCTGCCTTCATCAATCCTCTTTGTCAAGATAGTGAGACATAATTTCCCATGTACAAAGCCATGTTGAGTATCCCTAATCAGTTTTGGCCTTTCCAAATACATGTCAATCCTATCCCTCATAATCCCTTTGTACATCTTACCTACTATTGTTGTCATGTTCACTGATGTATAGTACCCTGGCCTTTCCTTAAATAATGGCACCACGTTAGCCAACCTCCAGTCTTCTGGCACCTCACCCATGGCTATCGATAATATAAATATCTCAGCAAGGGGCTCAGCAATCCCACAACGTTCTGGGGTACACCTAATCAGGTCCCAGGGATTTATCCACCTTCATGCTTTTTAAGATGTCCAGCACCACCACCTCTGTATAATTGACACTTTTTAAAATATCACTGTTTATTTCTCAAAGTTCTCTAGCTTCATATCCTTCTCCACAGTAAACATTGACGTGAAATTCTTGTTTAGTATCTCACCCATCTCCTGTTGTTCCATACATAAGCGGCCTTGTTGATCTTTAAGGAGCCCTATTCTCTCCATAGTTACTCTTTTATCTTTAATGTACTTGTAGAATCTGTTTTGATTCTCCTCCTCCTCTCTGCCAAAGCTATCGCATGTTCCCTTTTTGCACCCCTGGTTTCCCTCTTGAGTATACTCCTACTGCCCTTGTGCTCTTCTAGGGTTTCACACGATCCCAGCTGTCTAAAACTGACATGTCTCCTTCTTTTTCTTGATCAGAGCCTCAATTTCTCTAGTTGTCTACCATTCCCTATATCTACCAGCCTTGCTCTTCACACTAAGAGGAATATACTGTCTTTGGACTCTCATGATCTCATTTTTGAAGGCCCCCCACTTTCCAGCCATCCCTTTGCCTGCGAATAGCTGCCCTCAATCAACTTGTGAAAGTTCTTGTCTAATACCATCAAAATTAGCCTCCTCCAATTTGGAACTTTATTTTCAGTATTATCTGTTAGCTCTTTCTGAACCTGGCTCTGACCTGCTAAATTTCAGTCCTTAGCTTTATGTCTTTTGTCAGTATTCTGTTGGTCACTAGCTCTGCCATTTTGGACTTACGGAATCATGTTTTTCATTCTTGTAATGAAATAAAACAATGTTTCAGTTCTAAAACACTTGCTAGAACATCTCATTTGCACCCAAAGAGCCACAAACAAGCTCAGACTTACTAAATACAAACGGTCAGATGGATTTACCAGAAGTTTCTTCTAGGATTATCTTGTAGTTGCAATATATTATTAGACCCCTGATAGTTGCAGTTTCCTTTTTGTTACATCATTATAGTCTAAATATGTATGTTTCTGTGATGTAATCAGTAGAATTTTCAATATATTATATTTTTATTATGATTCAAACTTGGTAAATTCCTGCCTCATAGTCCCACATTTATGCGTTTTGTGAAGTGTACACTCACTTCAACAATTGATCTTAAATGCATTACTGCATAGGAGCTAAAGCATCAATATAGCCATCTATTTGTCTAACAGTTTCTGTGTATAAATTAAATCATTAGGGCTGAATTCCAACAACATACTTGTCTCCCATCCATAAAAGACAGTGGTTAGCACATAAAAGCTGAGATCTTTTGAGTTTGTACAGTCATCTGTGTACTTGAATGGGTACTTTGTCATTATTTGCCCATTTACTTTTCACAACGAGCTTGCAATCAGTCTAAATCCAATATGGGATTTAAACAAAGTGCTATATGCCATAGTTTTATATTAATATCCTTACTAACAAAACAAATGGAACAAACTGGTTTCATTTTATTTCACATTTCAAAGTAAGAAGCATGACGAGGCTAAAATGACAATTTCTTTCCAGGACAGCACAAACCGAGATTTGATTTTCAGGTCTTTAAGTACAGCCTGAGAAACGATGATGCAGTTGAGGTGTTCCATGAGCATTTCAAAGCTAAACTAATCCTAAACTAAAACATTAGCTTTTTGATAAGGATACCTTGATATTCTCAAGCTTTAGAATTATTATAGGTGTATGGGTAATGCGATATCAATCTGTTCATACTCCGCAAGTTATTAATTTTTAATTTCAGTAGAGAGATTTTAAAATGGAGAGATTGCAACTACTAGTGAGGTAGCTCTCTCACAACTGATGAGTGATCAGCTTCTCCTCATTTGTGGCATAAATCCTGCACTTCCCAAATCCTCAGAGTTGTCCCTGTATGGCCAGTTGGTAATATTCCGTAAAACCTATATGGGCTAATAAAATGTCTATAACTCATCTCTGTAAATATAATAAAACTAAGATATTGATTGTTTTCACTAGGGGTAGAATAATTTGGTCATAGGCTTATAATGTTGATCTGAAATATAACCAACTATAATGAAAATCTTTTTGTGGATTCAATGGTTGATCAACCCCTGAGGACTGATGTTCTCATCAAATTGCAATGTCTACAGTCAGTATTTATTTTATTATATTCTTGGGCTACATTATCTTAAAATTTCGGAAGAAATCAGGCATTCTATTCAGTAAAACAAGCCTGCATTTTGTACTTCAGTTTGTTTATACCTGTAGTGTGTAGATTAAATCATCCCGTTTTCTGTAAAGCAAATCTGTTGCCACCTGAATCTAATTAAAATGCTTTCCTTAGTAAATTTTCGCTGTGAAAATTTTACATTCTTCAATAAAACTGAATGTTCATAATCTTCTGTTGTACATTATGTGAAGCATGATGGGAGACAGAAAAGTATAGTTTTCTCAAGTACACAGCAGTGTAAAGTTTCTTTAGTTGAGACTTTCTTAAAATAATATTGCTAGCTCCTAAAATTCAGTTATAAATTAAATGCAGACTGTTGACTCTGAATTTCTCAATTGCTGGATGTAGAATAAGCATTACCATGCAGACTTCCTCATTAGCAGTATAATAACTATAGTACTGTCCTCATATTTTATGTAACTGCACAAATTTCCTGATGATTCAATACGTAAAGTTTGAAGTACTAGTCATTGCATACACTATTTAAGTGTAGAATAAGGAGTGAAACACTGAGAATGTTGTATTAACAAAAATTGTTGCATGTTTATTAAGTTGGGTAAGAACCAACATAGTACGGAATTGTGAAGCTGGTTAAGTGTTAATGTAGAAAGTAGAGTAGTGTTTCAAGCTCAGTTCAGTTAATGATTACTTCAACAGAATATGATCTTTTTAAATTGATATTTAAACATGCTCACACCATAGTAAAATCATTGTAGGATCAAGAACAGTTTTGTTTAAACTGAAGATAGTAGTCAAAGGGTGCAATAAGTTATTGATGAAATTTTTTGTGTTTTCGTTTCATTCCAATACACTTTGGAGATAAAGGGGCAGTATTTGCTTTTTGCTTTTAAAGACAACCACATCCTTTTCCACCACATGCGTTTCTGACATTTTCTGTATCTTAAACTTGTCGTTGTGCCAGAAATAACCAGAGTTGTTTGTGTTTTTGTACAGGAGCCTTGCAAATTGAGAACAGTGAAGAATCTGACCAGGGCAAATATGAATGTGTATCAACTAACAGCGCTGGAACACGTTACTCTGCTCCTGCTAACTTATACGTCAGAGGTAGGAAGTGCACTTCTTCAACTTGTTCCATATTTCAGTGTGCTGCTAAAAATGTCTAGGTTGTAAGATAAACTTTATGAACTATTATTTAATTAAATTAATCCTTTTTCATAATGATCAAATTACTTTTATGATGAGAATTGACTCACCTTTTCTATATATGCAAACACACAGGATATCAAGAACATCTCCATCAAGCATCTGCAAAATTGGTTGCTTTCTTTCTTCTAAGCAATTAAAATATTGTTTTAAGTATTTAAAACAAAGTTGAACATTTCAGCTTTTGTTTATTGTTACTTTTCTGAGGTTTCTCTTTATCAAAAGAAAATCTGAATGGTCATTTGGATAGGATACCAGACTTATGTTTGTTCAATAATGTAAATGATGGGTAAATTCCATATAAAGACTTTATCCCTTTTAAAGTCAGTGTTTAGTTCTTTTGCTAGAGATTCAATTGTGTTGTTATTTCACTTTTTCTAAGTGGGCTATGCTAACTGAGCATTTTTAATTCAGTGAATTTATTCATTTTTTGGTTAGAAACTTGCAAATTTCATTTTAAGTATGTCATCATAAATGTTTTATCATATGCTCCATCTTATGTCATTGCAATCTTGGAAAACAATCAGATGTCTGAACTTCAAGAATGTGGGATTTAATAACAGTAAGGAAATTGAAGCAGTGATTTCAGACTGCTCATTGCTTTGAAAATGAAGCAGCAGTGGGCAAAATCTAGTATGAATTTGTCCTGTCCAACTTAAACAAGTTTCAGTGTTCGTCAGTTATTCTTTACAATAGGGTAGTAGAGATTGTAGGTGCCAGAGCTCTCATCTGAGGAAACCGTAACAAAATGCACGCATATCATAGTTATTTGATGTTTTAAAGATGATAACATGATTTACTGACCTTAGTTGCAGTATTTGCTCTATTCTGTGAAGGGGATTTTAGCATTGCATTACATTTCTTTCTTCATGAGGTACGTAAGGAATCCTACTGTATCTGCTGGTAGAGGTGCAGCGGAAAGAAGAAGTAAACAGTGTGCTGGAGAAACTCAGCAAGTCTGGCAGAATCTTTAGAGACAAAAAGAGAGTTAATGGTCAAATGCAAAATGATTCTTCTTTGGAACTAAATAGGGAAGGAAAATGATTTTTTTTTTACACTGCTAAGAAAGAAAAAGGAGGAGCAAGTGGAACAAATGGTGAAGGTCACCAGAGCAAAAGATAAAGTGAGTGCAGTTGTTACTGGAGAAATAATATAGATGCAGAATAGGTGTTAATGGTGGACATGAATAGTAGAAAATAGGTCAGCTATGCTGAGAGCAAAGCCATGGAAACAGGACACCTGATTAGGAGTGACAGGGAGGACATCAAAATGGAGGACAGTATTCATAGTTTGAAATTGTTGAACTCCATGGTGAGTCCCAAAAGCTATAAAGCACCAAAGCAGAAAATGTTTTACACCTACCATTAACACCTAATCTGCATCTAAAGTTCTCCTTTACTATGACTAGTTCTCTCTTTATCTTTTGCTTTGGCCACCATCACCATCTGTTCCCCTCTGCTGAAAGCAGTAGAATCATAATTTTCTAGCCCCTCCCATTCTGAAGTAGAGTCGTATTGAAATGTTAATGCTCTTTCTCTCCACACAGATGTCACCCGACCTGCTGCGTTTTTCCAGCATTTGCAGTACTTTGCTTTCATAGAAGTAAACAGAGCTTCTCACTTCTCCTCCCTCCATCCCTAAATAGACTATTTTGCCCGTAGAAGAACATGAGGTGGATTTGTTTTTCCAAACAGTGACAAGAGTTATGATTTCACAACCAAAGAATAGGACTTTAGATGTATAATCACAGTCTAGTGTAAGGAAAATTAGCAGTCCATTTGTATACAGCAAGACTGATTGAAAAAAAGATAAATGATCAGCTAATCTGTGTTAATTCTATTAATTGAGAGAATAAATAAGAGTTCTAGAATACCTGGACAACTACATTTCAATTCTGCCAGGAAATCTTGAGAATTCAGATTTAATGTTTCAGGTCCTGTGACCCTAGGTATACAGAACATTATTTCAAAATTTGCAAATGACACAGCACTTGGAAGTATGCGAAGTATACAGTGATGGGCTTCAAAGTACATAGGCTAGTGGAGCATTTCTTGAGATTTACTGTTAAAAATGTTAAATCTGCATTGTGACTAGGTTCAATATCAGTGCTTGGATATACAATATTCAAACTTTGGTTCACATAACATAATCCAGTTGATTTAGTCATGGACATTTGTTGAGCTCTTGTATCAATGCAGTGTTCTTTGAGGTTGATGAAAAAGTATGTTTGCTATTACAAAATAACTAGTTGAAGAAAATTTAATCAATATTGAATTTCTTGTACCTAAGCCAAATTGTCCTATGACTGAAAACCTTTCTCTTGCTCTGCTATTGCATTCAGCTCCCCATGATGGGTGGCATGGTGGTTAGCTCTGCTGCTAACCCAGGGTCCTGGGTTCAGTTCCACCCTCTGGTGACCGTGTAGTGTTTGCTCATTCCCCCCGTGTCTGCGTGGGTTTCCTCTGGGTGCACTGGTTTCCTCCCACGGTCTGAAGATGTGCAGGTCAGGTGCATTTGCCTTGCTAAATTGCCCATATTGTCCAGGGATGTGCAGGCTAGGTGGATTAGCCATGGGAAATGCAGAGTTATAGGGATAGAGTGGAGGTGTGGGTCTGGGTGGTTTACTATTTGGAGGGTTGGTGTGGACTTGATGGGCCGAATGGCTGCTTTCACACTGTAGGGATTGTATGAACATTTTTGCTTACCCTGACTGGATATACTTCAGAATTTCTTTGATGTTAGAATAAAACTTCTTTATATGTCTCTATTAAAATGATTTTGCATTGGGAATCAAACCCAGCTCACATTCTTTTCGAAAGGCTGAAACAAAGATTTTGTTGGTTTCTGGCTAGCCGCTAATCATTGAGTTAACAATCTACTGTTCCATCAAAACAACAATGTTATGGACAGAAATGTATAGGAGTCTGATGTGGACTATGGCGAGATTTGTGGCTGAATCAGATGAGAGGTCTATCAAGGCCAATTTAGATGTTAGGGGCAACTTGCGCCATCTTTTGCACTTTCGACAGTAGCTTGGCATGTTTATCACTAAGCAGTGGCAAGAAAACTCAACATGGAAATTAGAACAGATACCTGGTAAACTCAACTCGCTGCTTGCTGCAAAGGACCTCCATGTTGAACACTGGGCACGAGCATCTCAGGACGAACCTTCTGAAGAAGGGTCACTACAGCCAAAACGTTAACTCTGATTTTTCTCCACAGATGCTGCCAGACCTGCTGAGTTTTTCCAGCAATTTCTGCTTTTGTTCCTTATTTCCAGCACCTGCAGTTCTTGTTGGTTTGCTCAGAGGGTCCTGGCACAGTAAATCAGGAACAACTTTCAATACCAGTACAGGGGCTTGGAAAAGACCAGTTAGCCCCTAGGGTCAAAATCAGAGTGCTCTCCACGTAAAGAGTGCCAGTGGGTCCATTACCTGTCATGAGTCTTTTCCTTCTATTATTGGCCACTTTCTTTCTGACATGAGAGAAAGGCAGATATTAAGAGAGATGAAAGGTGACACAGTTGTTAATTTTGGTACAGGTAGGGTGGTTTTTGAACCAAATTATTAGGTAGCACAGAGGACATGCAGGGTTAGTGCTGTTGGGTGTTGAGTGGGTGATAATGAGGGGGAAGATTTTGCATGCACCAGTGAGAGTGGTACAGCATGAGCCTTGGTGGGAGGTGGGTACAGAAGCAGAGATTGAGATGGAGTGAGTGTGAGGCATTGAAGAGAAGATGGTCGCGTATTTGCTGGCAGAGTTGAGTCAGTTAATAACTATCTTCCTACACTTATGAGCATTCCTCCAGACAACTGAGGCTGCACTGACCCGGGTGGCATCTTCAGACCAGGCTGGCATGGTCTGGTGTTGTGACTCCACTGCTGGTCCTGGGGGATGAGGAAGTCCTGCATCCAACATGAACTCTAGATCCCCACCTGCAAAGTTGTGCACTGATTTCATCCTGTCTGCCATGTCTGGGGCAGACATCAGGAGCAGTGAAGGTAGGTCCAGACTGACATTGCTTGTCCTGGTGCACGGCAAACTTTTGAAGATGTTGCAGGTGCAAGCAATGTAAGGAACATCCACTGAATGGTGAGTTGTTCTGGTAGCAGCATATGGTAAGATAGGGCCAGAAATGAACACGATGGGTGCCATAGGTGTGAGGTAGGTGATTAATATGGCAAGTTTGGTAAGAGCTGGTGAAAAACTTCACTAGGCTTCACGGTGGAAACCCCTCCAAAAAAACTCAACACAACTTAGACTTAGCCAAATCAAATTAATATTTAGCCCTATACTTATGCTCCTCATGTTCTGAATAAACCATTGTATGTTCTTCCTCTCTTATCTTCCATTTCCTTTTCTGGTCTCACTCTTACTGAGAGCATCAATATTCATGTCTGTTACTTGAATTTTTAATCTACTTGGCTTCCAGCTTTGAGTAACGTTCTGGCATTCTATGTTGCTTTTTTGAACACTTTACCTCTAGATTTCAGCTGCCTGTTCGCAGATTCGAACCTTCCTTCGGGATTTGAGCTGGCATTGCCATTACCTGGCATCCTAATCAGAGTGAGATCTTCCATCGCAGTAGCAGTCAGAGGAGTCTATTGCAAGGTGTTCAGGGCCATCATTATAGACAACAGCGTTTTTACAATTAGGTTTCATTACTAACCAAAGGATGATATTAGGTAACGTTGAATCTTTTCCAAGGTCACTGACCATGGGTCTGCTTCATCAAGAGAGTGCCTTGGATGACACATCTTTCTGATGTCCGCTTTCAGAGCCATTGTCCATAATAAGATTATCTACCTGTTCTATCACTCCAGACATCATGAACTTAAAAGGACTGATATCCCCTATTTACTCCTGGCAAATCCGATCTACCTTGATGGACACTAAAAATA